TCTCTGGTCTGAGGGCCCGAGGGGATGCCAGCCCCACCCCCTCCCCCAGGCCTGAGGCTGGCCCAGGGCTGGCCGCTGGCTGGTGTAATGGCCTCAGATAATGAGTCCACATTTTTCCAAGGTGACAGTCACTTACTTCCTCCCCTCCCCCAGCCTCACGGCCCCCTTTGTGTCCTCTCCTGGGCGCTGGGGACTGTGGGGCCAGATGAGCAGTGGAGACACTGAAGCAGGCCAGCACCAGCCCCTCCAGCCCCTCCCGGCTCCACTCGCCGGGATGGAGACCACGTAGGAACCTCCTTTGTTGGGGCATCTCCAGCCCCTTCCCATCCTGGTGACAGCATTCATTTCACAAGTGAGAGTTCCGAGAGATGCGAGCTGTACAGACGTCACTGTCTGGGGGCCAGATGGCGAGGCCTGGGGAGGCGGGCGTGCTCTCAGGTTTGGAGGAGAACCCAAGATCACGGCCGTGAAGTGCAGGGGACCTGTTTAGGAACATTCGCTTTGCAAATACAAGGACCAGGACTGTGCACAGCAGGCGTTGTAACGTCTGCTTGCTTTCTGTGTGCAAAAGGGAAGGCCATCTGAGAAGTAAAGCTGCTGGAGGACGTGCGGCCGGACGGTCTGACTGCGAATGCACGCTCCTTGCTCCCCGGGAGGACTCCTCTTCTAGCTCAGGTGGCGGGTGCAGGACAAAGCCGGTCCTATTCAGTCGCCAGCACTGGTGGTAACTGCAGCTCCCCTGCCGCTCTGGGCCACAGAACTCAGACGTGGCGAGCATTCGCTGTCAGCCAGGCACTGTTCTCAGCTCTTCCCTCACCCCGGCTGGGAGCGTGCTGTCACGGTCACTCCCGTTTCCAGATGCGGACGAGGCAGCGGGAGGGGTCACAGGAAGGGTCAGGGCAGAGCCAGTGTCAAAGGCAGGCAGTCGGCTTCGGGGCGCCTCCCTGCACCTGGGCCAGCAGAGCAGCCCTGGGGATGTGGGCCGAGTGGCTCAGCCCATCTGGGATTCTGACTCTGCTCTCGGCCACTCTCCCAAGGAGATCCTCTTTGACAGGCAGGCTCAGCCCTCTGAGGAAAACGATCAGAGTTCTTTTCCTCTCTCCTCTCTCAGCAAACGCAGGCTTCACGGGGGTCTTCAGGCAGGAAGCGGCAGAGCCAGGAGACCAAAGGCCCCTTCGCCACGGACACAGGTGCAGGGGACAGCGTGCTCTTCCCCTGTGGCCGCGAGTCCCCAGGCCGTGAGTCTAATCCTCTTGGATGCAGAGGCTCCCTTCACTTCCCTGTCTGTGCGTTGGCCGTCTAGGACTCTGGTTACGTGTCAGGGCTGAGGAAAGAATCTATTTTGACTCACAAAAGACCTAAATTTACGAAAAAGCAAGGAACATTAGTCACCAAAGCACAAGCATTTTTCAGGTAAAAATAAGAACAGAGTAGAAGCTGGAGATGGATGTGGCCAGGGAGCCACAAAGTAGACACAGACCACAGCACCACTGAGCTGCCTGCCTGGGCGACATGGAGCAGGACCAACCCTACAGAGACCTCGGGGCCATTTCAGTAGCAGTACCGGATTTGGGACCGGAAAGTAGATGCCGTCAAACGTACCAAAGTACATGTGAAGCTACCACATAATGTGCCCCCGACAGAGGGAAGGGACACACCACCTGACAGGAGCTGGGGGAGAGGCACTGCCGGCTGGCCCCCAGGCACACACCACGTCCCTCAGTGACCAGTGAGCGCGGCCGGGCCTGCCACCTGCCCCACAGGCGCCTGGGATGTCAGCCCGGGCCGCCCTGCCCCACCTCGGCCTCGATTCCAGCGCCCCCACAGCCTCCCGGCAGCCAAGACCCCCAGAACCAACAGGGCCAGACGCACCTTCCCCTGCGTGGAGCCATGAGTACCCAGAGGCGGCAGCTTTCTAGATGTTATTTATTAAAAATAGACCCTCTGTCCCTCTCAGCCCGGCCGGGGAAGCAGTCTTTCCCAACGTATTTCCCCGAATGGATGAAGCAATAAGTCTGGGGACTCAAGAGCCACAGCCATCCTGAGTCAGGAGATCGGGCACTGGCGGCCGCCTGCGGGAGCCAGGAGTGAGGGTGGCGGCACCCCACGGCCACCGGAGGCTCCCGCGGCCCAGGCCAGGGGCCGGGACAAGTCCATGACAAGGCCCGCGCTCCACCGGCAGCGTCCGGGCATCACCACTCAGCGCACTCAACACCTGAGGAGGGACGAGAGCCGGCGTGGCTCCCACACACGTGGGAAGGGAAAAAGCTGGACCCAACACAAACATGAACTTATGGGAAAGGCAGGCCCGGCTGGGAGGAGGCAGACCCCAGCAGGGACAGAGGATGGCCCCGGCGAGGTCCGAGCCGACCCCCTCGGCGGCGAGTGCTTCCAGCCACGCCCACGCGGGCACCGGGTCCCAGGCTGGCTGCGGGGCTGATGGGCCCGCGCTGCCTTCCATGGGGC